GAAGCGAATTGGAATTATATGTAAGTAGTGCGAAGCATAAAACACTTGGAGTTCAGCCCCGAGCTTAACCGTCTCACCTCCAACCTCTGGGTCGAAATCATCTGGAGTCTTCCAAGGCTGAGTTACCACTTTACCTTAATGATGGAGGAATTCTTGTTTCTTCTCCTGAGTTGTCTGTGGAAAAGGATCGGTATCGCATGAACCGTACTTGAGATATGCTAGAGAAAGGGTTCACAACGTTTGCCATGTCGCGTCCCAACATTAATGCGACCCTCTAATTTTGAAACGTCCAGAAATAATACAGCCGCGTGACCAAAATAAATTGATTGCAATGAGCAATAGGATATGAGACCATAAATGACGCTCTCAAGAGATTCCCCTGGACGCAGGTGAATTCCTTTCTGTTGCTTTATTTTTTACCACTTGGAGCTTCCTCTGAAAAATCTCTACTAGTTTGACCTCCAACATTGGGTGATTTCGGGCTACATAAATGCCACTTCAATTTTGAAGGTTCTATAGATGCTTTGGCCAGTAGTTTGCCACAAACTATGCATCCTGGTTTCAAATATTCTGATTATGTTGTACCAGACTGAATGTATGAATAAGTATACTTCCGGATTGGTACAAATTTTGACATTTTTGGAGGAGAAAAGCCGACTTTTGTTCCATTGACTTCAGCAGGGTTGCTACCAATTGTACCAGCACTTCCATTCTCTTTTATCACGAAACGATACATCTGCAGTTTAATTTTACGCGTAAATAAGTAACTGCGAGAAATAATAAATGAGATGGACTTCGTAAGCCTAACAAACCCCAAAAATAGAGAATAAGAAATATATCAGTTCAGGCAGCATAGAAATGAAATAGAGAAAATAAACGTCCACTTCTGCCGTTAAAAACCATGTCATCCCTAACAACAGCACTGAAGAACCATGGAATGCTGGAACTGACGAGGACTTGACTGGAGACTGAGGTTAAGAGTAAGAATGATTAAGAAGGCATTTCATAGCTATTTGCCTTTCTTTAAGTTGTTTATCTGCAAGTCTTCTCCCTGTGCTGCCTTATAATCTGGATTAGTGTAATAGATCGTTCTGGGAAAGTTTTCATATATATATTAATATATATGAAAACATTTCCCCCCTAATCGGGTGCCCCCAGGGCATGTACCTCCAAAGTCGGATCTTCTCTGAACTCTACATTCCAAAAGGAACAGCATGTATACCAAGTTTCTGATGTCTAGCTTTTCTAAAACATGGCTAGAATTGGCGTCTGTCAGTCATGATCCTCCCATTTTAGAGGGAGATCTTTCCATTGATATACAGTCATCCCCCGACTTGCGTCGCGTGGACTAACGTCGCCGGTCTTGGAAACAATTATGCATTTACGGACTGTATATTTGCTTCAGTCGGACAGAGAGACATGGAAAGCTGAATCTTGTCAAACATAACTGGGGTGATGTTGAATTAAGAAAAATTCAACTTCTGTTGTTCATTACTCATAAGGTTGAGCTTTTGGCTTGGTCCGCTTTTTCAAATATGCTTCCATATATCAATAGATCTTCGGCAAAATACGAATTTTCCAGAATCTTCTTTGATCTAAGGAAAGGGAGAACTGAAATAAGTTCAAACTTGTAGCAGAAGTTCTTGTTCTATTGCTGAGTGCAAATCAGACTTTTCAAATATATCCTCTTAGGCCTGATTATAAAGAGATTTGAAGTAAGGCAAACAAGAAATAATCGGAGTAATTGTTCAATAAAAATATTCGTTTGTCCTTTCATGGCAGATTTTCCAACAGGCACATACTTTTCCTACGTTTTTGCTACTGCAAATATGAATTAATGAATCAGTGGCCTCGACAATGAGCGCATAAGGTGCGTCAATGTATCTAATATTTGGTAATATGCAGTTCTTGGGATACCAATTTTAGGAATTTTTCTATTTTTCAGGTACATGCACCCAATGACATTATTTCTTTTTAGAACAAATGTTTTCCCAAACATTTTTGTTCTCATCAACATACCCAGTCAACTATTTATCCCCACGCCAAGTGTGGCATATCTTCGAAGTATGCGTGTTACAAGTATGGACCAAGTTCAACAGCCCACACATGCATCCATGGGCCATGGGAAGCATGAGCATGGGCCGTAGCAGAAATGTCCGCGTTATTAATGGCACCTTCATCGGTGGGCCAAATGTGGCTTTTGCGTGGGGCACGTTCGCGACAAAAATAAGCTGCCTTGCCTGTCTGCATGTGGGAGCATCGTACCAAAGCGGCCTATATGTGGACTACTTGTTAAATGTCCGCTTTTTCTGAAGCACACCGATCTATTCTGCTGATCATAACTGACATCTATATATACGCGTTCATAAAACCTTGCTGAAAGCCTTGTAGTTTTAAAACCATGCGATAGTCACTTGGAAAATGGATATTTCTTTTGTGTGCCACTGAGCTGTAGCGTAAAATAAATGATAACCCTCAAACAGAACACTTCCATTATTTTGAGATGACCGTACCAGTAACCCAACAAAATCTTTGACAAGGGTTCCTTTCCTTTCCATTATTCCGAAATAGAACCATTGCCGGAACATTTTCATCATTATTTGTAACTATCCTGACAGTTAAGACAATTTGCTTCACGATAGGGGAAATACATGTCTGTACGAGGTGTGGCTACTTCCATATATCCAGAACTTATTTTTTTTTTAAATTTAACTTACAAATTAATCGCATTTATCGCCTTCAAAGTCAGGAGTCAGGAGTCAGGAGAGTTAGTGATATCAAGAGGCGATTTCGCCCATTTCGATATCACGTGTCGAGGTCGAGCGTTCCTTAATTTAGGGTAGGCCTAACCCTCTTAAAGCTATATTTTTTTATTATTTTTTATTTTTTCTTTTTTNTCACCTCTATGAATGTATACATGAGAAAAATTCAAGTTCTTGGAGAGCTCATGAATTGTCCATTGCTTAAATCTGTGAATCATTTCTTCCACTTTTGGTCCCCATCCCAACATTTTTTGACGTCCGACTTGGGTCGTTAACGTGACTTGTTACACACAGACACAAACGATTTGTGCCTGTCGAATATCCTCCAGCATTATGAAGCGTCTGCTCCAAACACAGCAGCACGCAACTTCCCACGAGTTTATTTCCCATCATTTCACAAAAATTGCTTGGCGTTCTGAATTTCCAATTTCTTTTCATTATGTTCCTTTGCTGCTTTTCGCCGGGTAGTTCAATGTGTCCATTGGAACAGAATTCTTTGAAAATCCAAAGGAAAACCATCGAGAAATAAATCTTGCCCCCGCACACCCAAGACCCAACCCAAGATACATACGAGAAGTGACACCTGTCTATCAAAGAATAACAGGGTTACAGAACTTGATGATCACACCACGTATTCGTATATAACAAATTTATTCATTAGGTTTAGCCATTGATTATATGTCATCAACTTCAAGGAAAATCTAGTATTGCCTTTTTAAAAAAATGCTTAGTGGAATTGAGCACACATTTGTCCAGGAACCCATTAAATCGTTCAAAAATAAGTCATATGAGGTTTTTGCTTTTTCTTATCTACTCATTTCAGGTGGCTACTTTTTTTCCAGAATATTACCAACTTGTTACCTTATATGGAAAAATAACTCACTATAGAGTGGTGTAGAAAAATATTTCACCTTTGGATGATGTGCAAGTCCTGCCAGAATAATTTGCGCGGACGTAATTTTTGAGAAGAGGATTTTAAAAATATATTAGGAGCTAGCGTTTTGGCACAGAATGATGAAAAAAGTTGTGAAACAATAAATGCGAAGATCGAAAAAAAATAGCCACCGGAACCAGAAGTACTCCCCAGAAACCAGAAGTACTCCCCTCTAGAACTCATACACTTATCCCAACGATGCTGCAATTGCTGGAAACAGCGGCGGAAGTCTTCTTTCGGGACGTCTTTCAGAGTCTGCATAACATTTGCTTGAATGTCTTCAATGCTTTGAATTCGTTGGCCTTTCAAACAATTTTTACGTTTGGGAAACAGCCCAAAGTCACTGGGGGCTAAATCGAGCGAATACGGAGGGTGATCCATTTCAGTGATCCGTTCGACGGCTCGGACAGAAAGGGCTATGTGAGCCGGCGCGTTATCGTGATGCAGGATCCACGAGTTCTCTTTCCACAGATCGCCCCTTTTCCTCATCACAGCCTCACGCAACCTCTTCAAAAACGTTCTTGTACAATATCTGGTTGACTGTCCTTCTGGCACGAATTTTGAGTAGACGATTCCGTTGACATAAAAAAGAAACAAATTAGCATCGTCTTGATTTTCGACTTCGACATTCGAGTTTTTTCTGTCTCGGTTAATTTGCAGTTCTCCCTTTTTAACGTTTTGTTTACGGATCATATTGATAACACTATGTCTCATCTCCAATGATTATTCCTTCCAAAATATTTCCTTCTCCAGTTCTTTCCGTGAGATCCAAACAAACGTCCAATCGCCTTTGTTTTTGTTCAGCTGTCAGCAACCGGGGCACCATTTTTGCTGTCATCTTTCTCATGCTCAAATCATCCTTCAAAATCCCTCGAACAGTTTCTTTATCTAAATTCAACTCTTCAGCTATCGTTCTAATTGTCAATCGTTTGTCTGAACGCACCAAATCTGTAACTTTTTAGACATTTTCAGGTGTTCGTTTGATGATTGGCGCTCCACAACGCTGGTCGTCATTGACGTCTTCTCTTTATACCTTTTATGGCGCAACAAAACTGATTACTTAATGATTTGGTTTTATTCTTCTTGCTGGCGGCAATAGGTGACAGAGGCTGCTTTGTGTCTGAGAGCATGAGAACTTCATAAGGACATTAACAATTAATTGAAAACCCAAAGGAGATCGCTTCCCGCCCTGTTTTAACTTTTTCTGGAAAAGTTTTTGGGCTCATTGGAATATCGGCAAAAATTCATCCTTTTTTAAAAATAAATTTGACAGCATCACGAGAAACTAATTTCATAATTTTATTGGTCTCATTTGTATGCACGTATGGTGAGCATTATGATTTATCGGCTAATTTGAAAGGAAATGGGCTTCACAATGCATTAATAGGAACTAAATACTTGAGAAAGGAGTAATGCATGTAATTATCAATTATTCAGTAGTATCCCTGGTGTATATTGACAAAAAGCCATGGGAAAAGAGGCCACTAAGGAACAATGGAGAGAGGAAAATTAATGACATTCACGGATGAAAGCGACTTTTGTAGCATCGAAGGAGTACAGACACCGCCGGTTGGTCAGCATAATGAAGTCATAGTACTCTCGGTACCTAGAGGAGAAGAAACGTCAATGATCTTCAAGTCCCACTTCATTGCATTCTTTGTGTAATCAAGGTGGCTATTTTTTTTCGATCTTCGCATTTATTGTTTCACAACTTTTTTCATCATTCTGTGCCAAAACGCTAGCTCCTAATATATTTTTAAAATCCTCTTCTCAAAAATTACGTCCGCGCAAATTATTCTGGCAGGACTTGCACATCATCCAAAGGTGAAATATTTTTCTACACCACTCTATAGTGAGTTATTTTTCCATATAAGGTAACAAGTTGGTAATATTCTGGAAAAAAAGTAGCCACCTGAAATGAGTAGATAAGAAAAAGCAAAAACCTCATATGACTTATTTTTGAACGATTTAATGGGTTCCTGGACAAATGTGTGCTCAATTCCACTAAGCATTTTTTTAAAAAGGCAATACTAGATTTTCCTTGAAGTTGATGACATATAATCAATGGCTAAACCTAATGAATAAATTTGTTATATACGAATACGTGGTGTGATCATCAAGTTCTGTAACCCTGTTATTCTTTGATAGACAGGTGTCACTTCTCGTATGTATCTTGGGTTGGGTCTTGGGTGTGCGGGGGCAAGATTTATTTCTCGATGGTTTTCCTTTGGATTTTCAAAGAATTCTGTTCCAATGGACACATTGAACTACCCGGCGAAAAGCAGCAAAGGAACATAATGAAAAGAAATTGGAAATTCAGAACGCCAAGCAATTTTTGTGAAATGATGGGAAATAAACTCGTGGGAAGTTGCGTGCTGCTGTGTTTGGAGCAGACGCTTCATAATGCTGGAGGATATTCGACAGGCACAAATCGTTTGTGTCTGTGTGTAACAAGTCACGTTAACGACCCAAGTCGGACGTCAAAAAATGTTGGGATGGGGACCAAAAGTGGAAGAAATGATTCACAGATTTAAGCAATGGACAATTCATGAGCTCTCCAAGAACTTGAATTTTTCTCATGTATACATTCATAGAGGTGAATCGCGGTTCCACTCTTGTGTGGATGTCGATGATAGCTCAACCTTGGGTCACCATGTTAAATGTCGTCTTTTCTCCGAATCCGTCGTATCTGTGGAACACCTTCAAGGTTCCTAAGCCGTTGTACATTCGCCAACTACCACGCCAAATTTGACAGCCCTTAAAATTTTTTTAGTAATAAAAAAAAATCCTGAAAGATATGCGCCGACTAGTTCAATGTGTTCATTGGAACAGATTTCTTTAAAAATCCAAATGAAAACCAATGAGAAATAAATATTGCCCATGCATCCCCAAGACCCAACCCAAGATACATACGAGGAGTGACATCTGTCCATCAAAGAATATTGGAGTTACAGAACCAGTCCAGGAGCTTAATGATCACACCACGTATTTTTTTCGTATAAAAATTATTTACCGGTCGAGGGGTGGTGTATCTGAGAGTTAGGCGTCATTTTAGTCCCAGTGAATCAGGCGATTTTGACGCTCCTGCAGTTCACCTGCAAAGAGAAGAGAAAAGGATGAATAATGCAGTGCTTGTAAGTGAGAGAATGGAGAATCTGAGGTACGTATGGTACGGTTTTTTATTCAAAAATGCCACAATTGTCAAGTTAGGCATTGTACAAGGTGTCTCATAAGTCACTATAGCAGTAAAAAAAAGTTAAAATTTAATTACTAGATGTCACAAAAAATAACATTTACTGAAAGATAGCATGTCATTTGGAATTATCTTTGTCGAAAATGGAGGTATTTTTGAAGTTGGAATGTGGCTCAAAAAAACCCTTCGCCCACATCTGCATGAAACTCACCGATAAAATATTGCCGAATCTCCCTTTGGACCCTGATGGGACTCTCAAAGACCCCCTCCAGGTAGTAACATTCCATCATTGCCCAAGAGTCAATTTTGCAGCCTTGCTCATTATAGCGAAAGGAAATTAAACGATATTATTCATTTTTTTCTATTTCTCAAGTCTGTCTGCAAAGTGTCCCATACATCACTACACCATTTCAAACTGCATTATTTTTCAAACTGCTCAACCAGGTCACTTTTCTTAGCCTTGATGGAAAGAAGGTTCTTGTGATTTTTTTTTCACAGTAATGACTTGCAATCGGACTCAAACGAAAATTGCTTCAAAAGCATTCAGAATAGGTTACTAGAAGGTTTTCCTTCCTGTTTCTGAAATTTCCTGAATTTCAGGGTCTTCCTCATCTGGTCTTCCTCAGATCGAGTCCTAAGGGTGGAGGTGGTATTCGCTGGAGTCACACTTAAGTTGTGTTTTCGTAGACCTAGCAGCGCGGAAGAGATTTTTGGCTATCACTTTCAAGAAGCCTTCTCCACGCTGCAAATGAACTAAAAGTCACGCCTCACATAAACGTCTAACGTCGACCACAACGTCGGGTTCCAACATGAGCACTTGGTGTTCGTCCAACATTGATTCAACATCACTGTAATGAGCAAGGCTTCAAAGGAATTGCAACAAAATGCCCAATTTTGGCTCAACGTTGGTGCGCTGCAACCAAGAATAGGACAGAAATATACTCGCCCTCAAGAAGGTTCTTGGGCAATGATGTTGTTGATATCAGTGAACGTGGACGTCTAGGAGACTCGGATATGCCCATGACATAAGTTACATTCATCCGGATTACAATGTGCTCTCATAGTACTCGTACTTAGAGTGTCTTAGAGTGTCAGAACACTCTTTTCTTGAATACATGAGGGCATCCTAATGAACCGGGATTGATGGAAGAGTAGTATTCAGGGAAGAAAAAAACACTGTCCCATCCTTACTATTGCTGAGAAAATTTAACGAGGCCAAGTGCCTGTCCATCTGCCACAGGGTGGGAGCCGTGTGAAAGGGATACGCCAAGGGCACTTTCGGTCGGAAATGGATTTTTTCCAGCGATGGAGGGAGTTTGCGCTCTCCGTACACTGGGGGCAGGTTCTCCCTAGATATCCATGGCGCAGCATCTGTTTGGAGAAACAAGAACGCCGTTGAAGAATGAGTGATTGTGTTATAACGTTGGTAACTACGGTATAAATGCATTTCCTCTTCACCGATTTCTTTTACCTTATGAAGGGCATTATCTAAACTGTCCTCTGTTTTTCAGAAGTTATGAAACTCCGTGTTATGGAGTCTGAGCTTGTTAAGCAATGCTCCCGAGATGGACATCAGCAAATTAGGCTAGACAGGTAATCATGAATTAAACGTTTCTTGGCAAAGGAATGTGGTCACACTTCGAGATCTTTCAAACATAGCGGGAAGTTTAAATGATACAATCACTCTTCTTGCCAAATAAAATATTATGTATTTCATAATCAGGGAGATCCGAATACACAGATTTAGTGAAAGTAGGAACCCATTGCTGATTAAATTTGAGCAAATAGATGATATGATCTTATCCTACCGGTTTCGCGAGTCGTTATGAAGATTAGTTTTAAATTAATTAAATGTCATAGAACAATCATAATCAATTATTTCTGCAGGATTAACTATTGAAAATTAGTTTCTTTCCTTGTTTATCAGTCCATCCCAAGCGCTTCAGTTTGGAAAATAGATAACAATATGTATTGCTCCAGCGCTTCGACTTACCAAGGTGCCCGAAGAGGTAGAGGCTCTCGAGGATTCTGTGGCCGCAGAAGGGGGGGATGGGGCCAAGGAGGTCAAGGCGGCCGAGGCGGCCGAGGTGGTTGAGGCGACCGAGGGGGCTGAGGAGTTCGCGTCGATCTATTCGACTGGGGCGACACTGGTGGTTGAGACAATCGAGGAGTGCGCCACCACCGGAGTCAAGGAGGGCGAGGCGGTCAAAACTGCTGAGTAGGTCGAGGCGGTCGATGCGGCCGAGGCCGATAACAACTGGGTGGATTTTAACTCTTTGATTGCAGTCTTTATCAGTTCGCATGAAGACGTTAAGAATTCCGTATGATTCTTTCAACATTGTTTCTTGAGGGAGAATCGTACCTGTAAAGTAAATTGCGTATTTTATTTCGACACAATTACTAGGCATGTTTTCTTTGTTCAATTTTTTTGGAGTACGATTTCTTTAGTGCTGGATGAATGCGTTAGGGTCTCATCCCTTAGAAATCCAGTGTTTCAAGGAGATGGTGTTGGCATATTAGTCTATCGGCTTCTCCCATTGCCTAACTTTCTCATATTATGAGTCTGGGGACGTGGTGAGACCCTTCGGGCACGGATCTCCGCACTAGGATAAACTTCTTACTGAGCAACGGTCCTCTATGTCCTTTAAACTAGTCTTCTTCGGGTATATGTGTTAAAAAGGCCACAAAGAAGTCGGCGGCCTTCGTGACGACTGTGAGTAGAAAACCTTAGTGGTCGTCGCGAGCGCCGCGCAAATGATGAAACGAAATTTACGGATTTTAGAGGAAGTTTCCTTCACATTCCTTAGCTTAGGGAACAAAAATAAATTACTAGGAGCTAAATCCGGCGAGTTGGATGGATGATGTAGTACGGGATTGCCGAGTAGGTCAGAAACTATTGAAATTGCAAAAGAAAAACTCAACGAGAAAATTAAAAAATGAGAGAATTTAAAATATTTGAAAATTGGCTCACGAGGAGCCTGTTCGATGGCAGAGTGCAGATCCTACTTTTCAATTATGACCCCTCATAGCAGATTATGATGAGGTTTGAAGTTAGGCACACAATAAACAATCATTTCGATAAAAGTATAAGTTCGTTCTCTCTCAATACACATTTCGAGAGGCACATCCTTTTCTTACGTTTTGCCACACTGAAAATAAATTAATGAATACATGACGATATTGGATTATGGAGCGCCGAAGGCGCAATCATAGCGAGTTTATTTGTGAACCGGCAAATAATATCGCTATTACATACCTAGGTATATCAGAGGTGTGATCAAAATGTTCTAAGACTTAATTTTTGTATGAAGCTGTTGTTACTCTTGCTGACAGTTGATGGTTATATCCTTTAAACTAGTCCTCTTCGGCATCTGCACACATTTTCCGGCGTTTCTTCAGCCGCTGGAAACATTGCTGAGACTCATCTTTAGGAATCACCAACAGCTCTCGCGGCGCATTTCGTTAAGCTGTTTTAAATGTTTTGAGATTTTCTTTCTTTTGCAATTTCAATAGTTTCTGACCTACTCGGCAATCCCGTACTACATCATCCATCCAACTCGCCGGATTTAGCTCCTAGTAATTTATTTTTGTTCCCTAAGCTAAGGAATGTGAAGGATTGAAGGAGATTTTAGGCATTTAAAGCAAAGTAGTAAACGCGCCGCGAGCGCTGCTGGTGATTCCAAAAGATGAGTGTCAGCAGTGCTTCCGGCGGCTGAAGAAACACCGGAAAAATTGTGTATATGTCGAAGAAGACTAGTTTAAAGGACATAGAGGACCGTTGCTCAGTAAGAAGTTTATCCTAGTGCGGAGATCCCTGCCCAAAGGGTCTCACCACGTCCCCAGACTCATAATATGAGAAAGTTAGGCAATGGGAGAAGCCGGTAGACTAATATGCCTCACTGGTATAGGATATTTTGGATGTGCTCCAATCCGTATGCCCGCCTTCAAGAAGTATAAGCTGAAAGTAAAACCTGTCCCCTGTGGAAAAAAGACCTAGAGAATCGTCTACATTTCGTGGTGGGAGTGTGGTAATTAATTTTTTTTATTAACTTTGTAACGTCCCCTTCATCCGCCTCCACCAATTCACATTAAACCAAAGCCACAGAGGAATATTGAGGAGGCCATCCACAGAAAAATATTGTCCGTTTTGTGATTTGTCCGTTTTGTGTGTTGAACAATTGTCATTGGTTTTAGGGGTCTTGCTTTGATCTGCCATATTAGTTGAAGTCTGTCTTGAGTGGACACCCTTTCTCCGAAAAAGGATACCCATGGTCTCATTCAACCTATGTTTATTGAGCGCTTGACCTGGCCAAATGAATACATGAGGACCTGACCAAATTTGGTTCGCATTATGACTTACAAGTTTTCAATAGACATGGTTTTTTTTTGCGGAACTCCTGTCCGAAAAATTATTTTTCCTGATTGTGTTTGATTTCATTGATTAATTCTGAGCCAAGGACTAGAGGAACTATGAACCATCCTAGATCTGTAGCTCACTTGGGTAGAGATCTAGGCGCTGACTAGTTGAAGAAAACCGTCATTGAAACATTCGAGCTCGTTAAAGAAAAAGAGGATTGAGATATGGAACTTACAAGGAGTGCAATCTCCAAGGATGATAATTGGCCTTTGAAGCAGATTAGCTGCAGACTGCATTAGGGAAAGTGGATCATGTGAATTCTCCATTCCCAGTTTCCTCTGGAGAAGAGAACGCAATAATGCCTCAACTTTTCAGATATTCCTTCCCACAATTAATTTCCATGCCCATCAGTATCAGTTTCCTTCTTGATTTCATTATCAATTCGTCAATGAAAGAGAGACCTTTCCTTAAGAGCATACTATTTTATTGGTGTATATATTCTGCCTATGCTCATCATCCCCACCACGCTAATGTTATGGCACATACTGTTATAAAAGCAGGGCAGGACTTCTTGAAATATGGAATTTGTGAGGCATTTCGAGTACTTTCACGATACATTGCTGGGATTGGATTATTTTATGTATTTCATGCTGAGAGAGTATAAGTTTTTAAATTATTATTATTGAGAAATGGATATGTGTTTTCCATCGATTAATCTCCATAAATGAATAGACCTGTGATTAAATCACAAGAGACCATTACTGTAAAATGCATTTCATTGGTATAGGAGCACTTAGGTTATTTTGAAAAGTGGACTCAATTTCCCGCCACCGTATATAAATACTGTATGTAACTATGAGAGTGGTTCATATATTGCCTGGAATTTTTATAAAGGCAGAGTAATGTGTGCCTATTAATAATTGGACGAGAAATTCTTCCCTTTGTGTTGTTAATCCATACCCACATTACCCATGCAAATATCAGGAGTGCTTTAATGCGAGGGTCACTCAATAAGTTATCTACCTGAATAAGAAAGAAACATCCGAGGTCAACATTCCTCTACGTTTTTCCTTGATGACATCATGTAAATTTTTCATGGTGGTAGCATAGGAATCGCCAGTGATCGTACACTTGTCTGGGACACCATAAGACACACCATAAACGTTAGACATACGTTCATGAATCACCTTAGGTGCTTTTCCTTCTTTGGTGAGGTATTTGATCACTGAACGATGTTCAACTTTCGTCAAATCCATGAGACAGACTCAGGAAAAGAAATCTAATGCGCTACCACTTCGAACGGACTTGAGCCACTGAGCTGGTACAGTGGTGGGGCACTCATGAGACCTGTCGAGACATGTCACAGCAGGCACAGGCCTGTTGCTCATCCCTTTCATTGAAATGATGTCTTTCTTTGTCTTTCTTTCTAATGGCAATGTATGAAGGACGTATCCTGAGGTTTTGGTTTGCAATTAATTAAAATGTAATCAATCATCTAATATATATAGACGATCCTGACTGACGCTAATTCTAACCATGTTCTAGAAGGGTTAGAAATCTGAAACTTGGTACACATGTACCTTTTCTGAGGCAGAGTTCAGAAAAAATCTGACTTTGGAGGTACGTGCCCTGGGGGTACACATTTATGGGGGGATAATTTTTTTCAAATATATATCGTGACGGATAAGGATGTCATCGAGAGATGTAATTGTATGTCCTCGTTTCGCTGGTGTAATGGCAGCACATCCGATCGGTAGTTGCGAGGCCCGGGTTCAATTCTCGGCTATTTCAGGCCTTTCCTTTGGCTTCTTTTGCCTACCATGGCCTGTTACTTGAATAAAACGGAGAGACATGGAAAACTGAAACGTGGCATAGACGTGCCTACCGACACGATGAGTTCAGGAAAAATTAAAAATTGTAGATCCATTCCCTGGGGGCATATTTTTGGGGGCCGACGTTTTCAAGTACTTTTTTCTCCTGGTGTATTGAGCTAGTATGGAAAAATGAAACTTGGTACATAATTACCTACCGGCATGCTGCGTGCAGAAAATCGCAGAATTTAGAATGAAATGCCCGGGGGCATGAATTTCAAATGGAGATGTTTTCACATAATTTTGTTGCATTAGTTAAACCGGTGGACGTGGAAAGCTGAAACTTCGCATGAATGTGACTACCAAGATAAGGAGTTAAATAAACATGTTAAGTATAGTTATACATCCCCTGGGAAGAACTTCTCGAGGGGCGATGTTTAAAAAAAAATTTGTCGTGGCGAATTGGACAGAAATGGAAAGGTGAAACATGGCACATGCATAAGTGACATATTATTGAGTTGAGGGAGTATTCAGCTTTCATCGTGCATCCCCTCCGGTCATAGCTTTTGGGTGGGTCGGCTTTTCCAAATATGATTTTTCACCAGCGAAAAGGGCAAACGATTGAAACTTTGTGGGCATGTAGTTCACTGAGGTTTGATTTCGGTAAAAATGGTACTTTTCAGTTAAAATGCCCGAGGGCACATATTTTGCAAACTTTCAATAATTTTCTGATCCAGCAAAACGGAGGGTGCTAGAAAGTTTTAACTTGGCAAAGATGTACCTGATGAATAGCTGAGTAAAGTAATGAATCTACTTTCATCTAATATGTATAGACGATCGTCACTGATTGACATAAGTAGCTATTCACATGCTGAGTTCAAGAAAAATTCCACTTTGGTGATACACGCCATACACCTTTTCGGGGAACATATTTTCAAATAGTTCTCTTTCCTTCAATCAAACGGAGACCCATGGAAAGCAGTAACATGGCAAGAACGTGAGTGGTGAAGCACTGAGCTAAAATGGCAAATGTCCAATTGCCAAAAATTTTTTTTTTGGGGGGGGGGGCATATTTCTTGGTGACGCAACATTTCCAAATAAGTTGTAATATTCTAGCAAATCGTGCAGAAATAGAAAATCGCAGCTGGCGCACGCATAACGGACGTGAAGTTGACATAAGGAAAATTTGGACTTTAATTGAGCGTCTCCCCAGAGCACAGCTTCTGGGTGGGTTGCTTTTCCAAATAAATTTTTTACCGCCAGCAAAAAGGGGAAACGTATAAGACTGAAACTGGGTGGCATGGAGTTCCCTGAGTCTATATTTCAGAAGGAAAAAAAATTTTCGTTAAAACCCATCAGGACACTTTTTTTTTTCAAGTCCCATTTTCGTGAATTATTCTTCGATCCAACGAAACAGAAACAGAAAATTTAAAATTCCCTCAAAAGTACCTGTTTGATGGCTGAGTACAGGAAAAATCCTACTTTTGAAATATGCACCCTTAGCATAGATTATTGGACTGAAGTATTTCAAAATGTATTCTCCAACCTCACAAAAAGGGACACATGAAAAGGTTTCAAGTTAGGCACACAAGAAATAATAGAAGTAATGTTTTTGATAAAAAAGAAGATTTTCGTCCCAATATTTAACGCATTTCAATGGGACGTACTTTAAATACGTGTATGCCATTTCGCAAAGAATAAATGAATTAATCATTATCCAAGGTATTGGAGCGCCGAAGGCGCAACTATAGCGGGTTTGTTTGCCCTTCGGGCAAACAAACTCGTTAGTATAATATATATACAGTATGATTGATTATCAATCGTCTCTTCTGGAAACGGTGCTGACCTTAAAATTAAATTGGATGAGTCGTAGAAAGCAAGACGAGAGTGGTACAGTAAAGTGAAATTAATGAGTAATATAAATTAATGGTGGCGAAGAACCTGAAGGAGTGGGAGGTGGAGTAAGGATCCTGTAAGGGCAACCGAAAGGGACTCCAGCACGCCAGAAGACCCGTCCTCGATCCTTTGAATATCTAGTGGCACTGGGGGGTAATCCTCTATATCCCACTCTACTCCATTCTGCTTGAGGATCTGAAGGATTTTCTCCATATTCCCTTCATCAATCCGAGGCACCTCCTCATCAAATCCTACAAATCAAACTGGGTGATCGTAAGACCCAAGATTTAATATTGAAAAAGAAGATTGCTAGACACTACAGGATGAACGGTATCCAAATATTGCAGGACAGCAGCGGAAGAACGATCAACAGAGGGCCAATTAGGGGATAAGGTCATTCTACTTAGAAATCTGTTAAACTCTTACTTTTAAAGATTGCATGCGGTATTAGGTATCTTTGTCTCATTGCAGTACATTATTCAATGCTGGTAGTCCTCACGTGACTTGTAATCAAATGACTTCACAGTTACAAGAGAGTTCGAGGCAGAAAGGATTGACTCCGAGTTCATGAATTCGATGAGTTCATTCCGACGTTCAGTTTTTGAAATGGTTAATAATGAACGGATTTAGAAGTAATAATAAAATAACTCATATTAGGTCCTTAGGGGATAAAGTAATGAATGAAAAGTACCAAAATAAGAATTGGAATACTAGTAGGAACTAAAAGTACACGACCTTCGACGATACAATTCGAATCCGAACTACTAGAACCAATAACCCCGTGTCTTCTCTGTAGTCTGACTGTCACGCACACGAATACTCTCTCCCTTCTTTCAGAATCTTCTCTCTGCTGGTGCGCTTGTTATCTATATACATATTACTAGTCGAAAGCCCATGCACACACGGGATGATTAGACGGTGAATTTTGATTGTGTTCTCTGGATGACGATTGCCGGAAAAATTTTTTTTCCTTAATTGAACATAATCACAGTTGAACGTACTTGGCAACTGCCCCAGGCCCAGCTTTTGCCCAATGTCTTCTTTACTAATGATTGTCATTCGGAATCCGTCTCATTTGCTCAGCGTAGGTGGGAACGTTCGACCTCGGTACTCAGAGGTTAAGAGGGATTCCGTATGCCCGTAGTGCAATGTCCATGCGCGGAGCCTTCTTCTGCCAGGCTCCGGGTGTCTGTCTCGCTCTCTCTAGCTCGCACCTTCCTCTCATACCTTCTGGCTCGTACCGGCCATTGTGATTGTCGGATACATTCTCGAGAACATAATAGCCCACGGGGGGCGGGGATAAGTTCAGATAGCACGGCGAGAGAAAAAGAATGGAGGGGCGGGAACAGATCCCGCGGCCCCTTAATTGGCGGACATTTACTTTTTCACTACACCACCGATCCATATACAAACATGAATTCCTTTCCATGCCACCCATAACAGTACAACGAGAGAGATGCATTCTACACACACCCATAGATCGAAAAGACGCCGCCAGCCGCGTAGTAACCGTCCCCTTTCTCTAGCGTGTATTTAACTCATAGGCCTACATGAAATGTGGAGGAGATGGACTTCACCGACGATACGCAAATCGTCGAGATCGATACGGGATAAAAGTGCCGCTCGATAAAAGTCCGTATCGTAGGAGTGAAAACCCCGTGAATAAGACGGAGGGGGATGCCCAAGACGAACAATGTCAGAGCGGCTGCTGCGCAGAGCGTTCATGGGGCCACTGACTGAACTCGTGTCTTCCGAAAATGCTATACGCTTAGCCTAGGCCGACCCAGAGTTCATGGATGTCTTCCACAGGTTGGGGTCTCCGTCTCGCTCTCGAGCGAGCAGTTTCTTTCGAAACTTCGCGACTCTCGGATTCGTTCTCGAGAAAGGGAGAGAGTGGTTGCCGCGTAGAGTGTGCAAGTGCTGAGTGAACTCATGGGTTCCTGACTAGGTTCAGGACCTTAGAGATGGGGGGGGGGCGGCAAAATGGGCAATTTACCCTGTGTCCCTTGCCTGCTGGGGGACCGGCCATACCGGATGATTTACTATTGTTTATTAGCGTAGCATTCGTTCCCAATGAAGAGTTCAAACACACTCTGAGTGTGTTTCAAGCGGCATGGAGGGGAGAAGAGTGGAAAGAGGGCCCTTGTGTTAATACTGGCCCAGGTCTCACAATTCATTTTGGCGACGCTGATTATGTCACAGGCTTACCCTAGGCCAGAAATGTCAAAATTGACTAAGATGGCGGTCGGATTGAACCCTTCAGCAGTGGTTGGGCCCACATTCGCACATCTTGCACCAAAATTTCAATTGCTAACAGGTTGAAATAGTCTACGCTTTTTCAAAACCAACTGTTAAAGAGGACTTTGCAGGCTGGACGAAATCAAATAGTTGGCCGGCGGTTTGACACCCAACCTAGACCGACCAGAAGTACGTTGAAGTCTTCCACAGGTCATTTTAGAGAATGGAAGGCAGGTACTGCTGCTTTATATCGTTGAGAGGGCCGCTGACTTTTAGGGCTGCTGACTGAGCTCGGCAATTGTCGAGAAACAGTTCGTGGAAGACATCCACGGCGAGGGTTGCCCGTCTCACGCTCGCGCTTTCTCGCCGGCCTTCGCAACAGTCGGATCCGTTCTTGAGAATAGGAGAGTCATTGTACGACTTGCGCACCCCCGTCCCCCACCCTTAACTAAGGGATGTTCACACCTCGATAAGAGCTTTCACGCGGGGAAACCCACGCACAACACTTGGAGTCCCGTTTTCCTTCGTGCGAAGGAAAGCAACTTCAAAGTATAAAAGCGGCGTGATCCCATCAGGGTGGGATAGAATGGGATGGCTTATTCTTGGATCGCAAGGATGCCGCCGGTCGGGTCGTTATCTTCCCATATCCGTATCCGTATATTTCACTCATAGACCTGCAAGCAAAATGATGGAGATGGACTTTAAGCACAAAGCCGACATACCCTCGTATATGTGATCGATAGGGAAAAATGCCGATAATTGTAAGGGGGAAGATGTCACCCCGGCGAGAAAGTCATCCTCCCTTCAGGGGTATTAAAGGGGACTCCAAGGGTTGTCCGTGGGGACATATAAAGAATGGGAAAGAGGGGCTGCTGCATATAGCGATGAGAGGGTTACTGAGTTTTAGGGCCGCCTTGTTTTGATTTTTATGTAAGAAAAAAAATGACAATCGTTGGGGCTCAATATATTTTCTCTTTTTGTGATGAGCCTTTTGTCCCAAAAAAAACTTGCCTGGATAAGGATTAAAAAAAAGAATCGCATTCCTTAGTTTTGTGAAGATCACTTGAAAGACGCATTCATTTGTAATGCCGAATTCAGGATTGGAGTCCTTTATGATCGTGGCTCGGACGGACTCCTTTCAGTCTGTCGCTCATGAGAAGTCGCTGTTGTAGTTGCTCATAAACATGAACTTTCAGTATAGAATCGGCTTTGACAGGCCAATGGGATTTCAATGTTAGCTGCCTTCACGCTATAACGTATAATCAACTTTGGTTCACTGTGATTGAGCAACACCGGTTCTTACCAAGCCAATAGTATCCCCAATCGGTGAAAGGGCAGGAAGAATTCCGTAATGGCCATGGTGTAGTATTAAAAATTTCCTCAGGATGGAATGAGATGATTGCACCGGTATTCTCGTCCAGGACATCAGATCGTCCCATAGCCTCCTTTCCTATACGACGTCCTGCATCATCCCAGGACGGACACTGCAATAAGGGGATTATGCGCAAGTGTGTAGGGGTTGTCCTCATCATGCATTCATCTCTGAGACGTGAGCAATTTCTGGATGGAAAGCATAAATCATTTACGAAAGGCTATGCTGAGCAGGTCCTATGCAATAGAGGACGTTCAATGAAAACATAACGGAAAATGATCTCACGCTCAAACGGCAGAGTGTATTTGCTGGATCGGTCTAAAACTATCCCCTTCACAATTAATTTAGTGATTAATCATGAAAGCCTCATTGAATTTTGCAATTGAGTAAAATTTTCAATATAAATAAGCTAGGGAAAAAAATACATTTGCATTTGCCTTCCTCCCAAGAGAGAACTGGAAGATTGGAACCACTTACAGGATGGACTATGGGCAATTGTTGACCACAATTTTAAAGTCAAATGATTTTATGAAAAAGAAAGGCAGGAATGAAATGATTTGCCTATACGGATATGATTCTGTGAGCCGATTCCTCATTTATGAAGGCACAATTTCCACATATTGAAAAGTCCACTGTCTTCAGTGAACAGCTTTTGCTAAATCTTAGAATATGATATGCTAGTTCCTTTGGAATGAGGAGTAAGAGGAGTTACTCACCTTTAGAAACTTTCCTTTTGCATCCAATTCCAGGAGTGATCGGAGGCTGCTCTCCTCAACATCGTCAGAAATGTGGCTATGCAGAAGCTGGAGTCGATTTTCTCTCACCATTGTCTCCCAAAGGTCATCGTGAGATGGATTATTGTCTATTATGATCAGTTGAAGCCTACTCCTCGAAACCACTTCCAGTAGCCATTCGTCGGTAGGGTTGATGGAGATCACTACGGAACTCTCGTAGCCTCGGAAATCCTCCGGATGTGAGAATTGAATTCCATGACTGTCAGGGAAAGCCTTCTTCAAGGACGACAATTGCCTTTTATCTGATACCAAAACGTGGGGCATTTCATTTCCCTTCACTCTATCGAGGGCGGACTTAAGGAAAAGCGACAAGACCCGTTCATCGTTCCCCACACAAGGTTCGCAACATGCTTTACGTCGACAGATGTACCCACCATGTTTCCCGGAGCAAGTGAATTTCATGAGTATGACTTTTTCACCGTAGAGAAAGGCGCTGGGCTTCGAAGAAGTATGCAAGTTCTTCGTGCCCAACTCCAAAAATATTGAAGTCTCGTTCTCTTGGATGTGACGGATGAGTCGCAAGTCAGTAGAAGGTTGGAGTCGGATGGCCGTGCAGCCCTCCTTATTCTCCAACATGTTCACGATTTCTTCTACGACGATCTGCTGAGCGTGCTCTGAGTGGGACTCAAAGGAGACAATGAGTTTTATATTTTCATTCTTCAGTCGCGCCATCAAGATCTCAATCTCTTTCTCATCGATCAATCCTTTTCGTAATGGACAGTCTTCAACGACCACAATCAAAGGCTCCATCATATTCTCCTTCTTCTTATTTTTCACTGCCGGAGTGTTCAAAATGTCCAGGAGAGACCGGATATATTTTAAAATCGTCCAGACAACCTGCACGGCAGCCCTAGGTTTCCAGCGCTGTTCGCATAATTCCAAAGACACTAATCCACCGGCATGGATCAGGAGAACTCGCTCTCCATCCATTGTTGCCCGTTGGATCAGATGATCTACTTTCCTGGATTTCCCTGAGGCTGGATAGCCGAATATTCCGGTGAGCCAATATTTCAGCTCCTCTTTTGACTCTTTTTTATACGCTTTCAGTACATCCCAGTCAATGTTCACAAGCGGTGGGGATTGTGCCGAAGAAATGCCAATTGTGTCTATCACTTTTTCCTCATTCTCCTCCAATAACCTTTCGAGGCCCCTGTAGAAATCTCCATTGATGTTCAGTTTGCCTTTGTCGATTTTCCATCCGGATACTTTCTGTACGACATAAGAAAATTTTCCAGTATCCAAATCTTCTTCTTCAATCACAATAATCTTGTTATCACCGGTCGTGGCTATTAATCTATTGTAGTTTTTCCACTTTGATCCTGGGAGGTCCAAAATGATTATGGTGTTCGTTGGATAACACCCTTTCATTTCGACCTCTGTGACGAAGAGGAGAGGGATTGAGCCCTTTGAGCCGGAATTCCCAACCCATTGCATTTGATATCCAAAACCCTTACTCTTGCGGATGTAATCGTAGAAAAGGACTGGGCAGGTCGGGAAGGAGGATGTAAAGATGTTCACAAGAGTATTCCGTTTTGCATAATCATCAACCACGACGAAAACAGGAGTTGCATTCGACTTCATGGGTCTGGTGTAAATGGCCATAATGGCATGCGAGGCCCTAAAGGCCTGACAGATCATTCGGGATTTCTGTTTTGAAGGGCCGATTTGATGCGAAGGCCAGCATTCGGGGAAAAGGGCGTGAAAGATACGTCGTGATTTTTTTGTGGTTTCTTCTGAAAACTTGCATTCGCGATGAAGGGCCTGACAGGAGGGAATCAGGAATAAACGGGGAAGGTATTGCCCATCCGAGCCCTTCAAAGTCGTGCAATCGAGCCTGAGAGAACCTTCAGATGATATGAAAACTCTTCTCGAGAAGTCGGCGATGCCTAAGAAGAGCTCGGATATATTTCTGCTATTCCTTTTAACTTCTTGAAGGACCTTGATTGAGAAACCTCCTGGATTGACATCCTTGAGGAGGAAGTCCCTCGAATAGGAGTCGTCGTTGGGTCTGAAGGCAACGGTGATAGATATGAAATTATTTTTCACGTTCGCAAGCCATTCCCAGTGCGAGGCAATTTCTCTGGGTATGAGAGCATGGTGGAATCCGAGCGTAAGAGGAACTTCATCAATAAGAAGGTGTTTTCCTTCCCCTCCGTTCTTCACAAAATTCTTGAATTCTTCGAGGTCTTCCAAGTTCAATTCTCCACCATCCACAACCTCAATCCGCCCATCCCCTGTTAAATGACAATTTTTCTCATATCCTTCAACTTAATATTATTTCGTAAAGTTCCTGTTTAAACGAGGGGATCTTCGTTACACAGCCCACACACACATTTCGTTACACACACATTTGCATGCATCATACTTTTATAATGTCTCGGCAAAAATATGACTGAAAGGAATGGTCTCTATAATTATGCATTACCTAAGAAATATCTATACTGTATGTACAAGGACGTTCAAAAAGGATTTGGACATATTAAATAACAGCAGAATGAAATAATTCTTGTAAACCAGGGAGATTCGGCTTCGGAGATTTAGAGCAGAATACTCATATTGCCCTGTCTTTATTTTTCAAGTGAAGTCCAAGTATTAGTAGGATTGGCCTTGCCAATGAGTCCAGGAATATCGATCAACCCTTTCCCCTCCTACTTCCAGTTACTCGTCTCATTGATGTCATACTAGTATATCACTAACCTGAAAAACTGTCACTGAAATCCTGCGTGAGAAGTCCCCCAGCGAGGTTCACAACTACAACTTCAGAACCGTCCATGGAAAGTCGCTTGGCTCTTTCTTTTAAAACGAGAGTTTTCCCCGTGCCCGATCCTCCAGCCAGGAAAACACATTTGGACCTGTCCTCCACTAGGCCCTTTTGTTCTGGTGTCAAAATACACAATGCTGTCTTATCCACTTCAGCGGGACTACGGAGTTTGAAATCTGAATGGTGTGTCCGTGGCACATCAACTGAGCAATATGCACAAACCATGCGAGAGAATATGTTGGAATACAATTCCATCACACTGGAACTGCAGGTTGCACTCGTTGGGAAGTCGATCACGCCGTTCTCTTTGAGGAAGGCTTGAAGAAGGTCTGGACTTTGCAGTTCGTCACTTGTTAATACCTTGGACAAGTAGGAATTGTTATTCACGGAAGTTCGCAAATCCTTCTTCCTAGTGAGGGGGAAAGATGGAAAACAATGGATGACGGCTTCGGTTCTTAGAAAGTGACTGCACATGGTGAGAAATACTCGTTCTTGTTGTACACATTGATAAACAGCCTCCATGACCCTTTTCTTTGCAATCGGCGCATCATCTTTCAAAGAAATTGGTTTGACCGAGAAGAATATGTTCAAGACTTTTTCTCCACTTGGATAAGTCAAGAAAATAGAATGATCATCTCCCTCCAATTCAGCAATGCTGTATTTCCTTGTCAACTCCTGAAAAATGGCTTCGTGGAGGGTGTTGCAAAGCTTGGATAATGTGAACACCAAAGATGGGTTTCCTCTGCAGAAATCCTTTAAGCAATGAAAAAGTACATCCCTGGCTTTCTCGAGAGGGATCTCTCCTGTCGTCCTTGCCAGATCGAGGAGATAGCGCAAATCATTGTTCATCAAGTATTTTTTGGGGGGGAGGGAATAGTGGCTTACTTTAACATTCGGATACTGCTCCTCAATGTAGCTTTCCACTGCTTTCTCCGGCGCTACCTCAATGTCAGCTCCCATGTATACCTGGGATGAGCAAAATATCAGGGCAATTTATCAAGTGTCATTGCTACGTACATGGAATCACTATGATCAAACTTGAATCAAGCCTAGTTCTAATACATAAAATGGAACTCAGAAAAAAGCACAATTGAAAGATTATTTGTAGCTGGTAAAAATGTACTGATTGTTTAAAACGAGCCAAATAAACAGGAAAATTTGAATTAATGACATAAGGGGGATTGTTTCTACCCCCTACAGTGGCGTCATGCATGCAATTGAAATGAATGGGATGAAATGAATGGTGAATGGAATCTTGAGTCAGTTTGCAAGAAAACAATGTCGACCTCATCTTCCCACTGGAGTGAAAGCAGGCAGGGAAATTTTGTATTTTCCATAACATATGCATTTACCGTGAGATTCGCACACACAGCAGCTTCCAAAATATTTCCAAGTTCAATTTTCCGTCATTACTATTATTGACTCGCTGTTTTGGCATATGGCAGACAGTTACTGCCAATTCCACGTAATACCTAGTCTCTGAGTATCTACAGAGTGAGCACGAAATCACTTTACCACTGGATGAGTTACCTTTCTATGTCATTGATGCGTAATTTCTCAGGTTTTCAGGTGTATAGGAAGAACCCCATTGGATATATTATTTATAATTTATTTGTCTGTTTTCGTTCGATCCCTTCATACATTAATAAATATTTGTGAAGATGACAGACACCAGTCGCTTCACCATACAACAGAGACTCTGAGCGGCTTGTTGGAGGCACAAGAGGCACCACACTAGGGACTCAGTTGTATTAATTCGAGAACGTTTCCAGTAAAGAATTTACCTTGAGACACCTTCACCGGCAGTTGAAAAGTAAGCGTTCAGCGGTGGATCGGTCCTGGATGGTTTAGGGGGGAGAGGGCTTTATGCCTACCCTGTACAATTTTCAATTCTTTGTTTTGTTCAGAAAGGCATTGCTCATACAGCATCTACTTAAAGCTATTCACAGAAGAGGTAACCACTGTCATCACAACGCACTCCACGCTCTTACTACCCTTCAAGTAATTCATATCAGAACTGGAGCGGCACCTGGGATTTACACAACTTAAAATGACATCTCGTTATCATACTGCCGGGGAACTGGAAGAATCTATCCCACACTACATTATCGATTCTCTTATTGATCTTGATAGCCACGATGAAATCGCCCCTCGTCAACCCCCTCTCGAATAAGTACATTCCAAACACTTCTAAATGTTTATCTTACGGAAGTCCCTTAACTTCCTTGGGTCCTTCGTGTAGCCCCTCTATCACCGTTAACTCCCATTTATTTTTAGGCATCCAACATTGCATGCAATACTCCAAAAAAAGTGAACCACTGTGGCAAACAGCGGATTGTGAGCTCTCAACAGCTATGGAACGACGGATGAAGACAATAATTATTGCATATCGCTACTTTCACATGCACGTAGAAGGAAAACTTGTTATTGATTGACAGTAACCCCTGGGTCACTCTCTCCATTTGCTTCATCCAGTTCATCCACACCGAACTCTTTCAGAGACTTATCGTTATTGGTGTCATCGGCATATTTTCCGATTTTTCTCTCTAGACATAGAGCAATGAGTGTAACTAGTGGCAACGCTCCAAGAGGTAAGGGTGGGGGTCTCCCTATATTACAAACATATCGGATGGGTCGTTATCAAAAACATTTCTGTGAGGCATGCTTCGTGGCATCGGGGTCGGTAATCGACTAATTCGGCGGTTCGAACCGGTAGGGAGAACCTCAATGTAATACACGTGTCTCGTTGAGTCCGCTGCTAGGTCATAGAGGAGTTTCTGATGCGAGCACGCTATATTGGATGGCCGACAATGACATCTATATGGAGACCCTGCCAATGAACGAGATTCAAATAGAGTGCCACCTCTAGCTATACTCTAGTTTATCTATGCTCTAGGTCTTGATTAGGACCAGAAAAAGCGGTGCTAGAACTAAGCCATGAGGAACATCGCTCGCGTCCTGGACTTCGAAATCTTAGTTTGACCCCTTAGGAAGTTCTTTATGTTATTTTCGCCCTTTACAAAGATCTGAACTACATTCGCGAACTTCTAGTCCTTAGGCGCTTCTCCACGGAAAATACTTTTTCCAATATAATTATTAGTGATACCAAAATTTCCCTCGCAAATTCCGTAATGACTGGAGCAGGAATCCCATCGAGGTCTGTCGCCTTCCCCACCTTCAGACTTTCTATCCCATCTATTCCCTCGGTAATGGAATTATCCACAATACGCGCTGAGGTCACTTCTTACAAAGCCGGTTCGTCGTCGAATTCGAAGGTAAAAGCAATAGCGAAGAACTAGTTTAGCATCCTTGCCGGTCTGTATTATTCGAAATTAACTCCCCCTAATTTATTAATTAACTCCCCCTAATTTATCGGCCCTCTCGAATTTTGACTCCTGCCGCTAGTATATTGATAAGATGCCTTTGGATTCCTCTTGGCATCTCCACGACCTCCCGTCTCGCTGGCCTGATATCCTGCTTTAACGTTCTCCTGATGGACCAATATTCCTCATAGTCCGCTCTGTCTCAAGTGCGCCTGTAAGAGTCCCAATTTTGCTTTTTATCCATGATCAGTGCATTATGTGATGGTATGACAGAAGGAGATAAGTCCAGTCCAGATAAGACCAGACTTCATCACTACATATTCATTGTCGTGATCCCAATTCCTAGCATAAAACTACTTCTTATTTGCAACCTATTGAAAATTTTCAGTCGGATAGGTAGCATAAAAGTGGAACAGACAGGATGGCGAAGTGGATAAGAAATTTAAAAATATTCCTCCTGGGAAATTGCGAAAATGGAGTTATCGCCTTCTGCTATACCACAGAGAATTTTCTTGCAA